GTGAGTTTTTGGCGAAAAGTGTTGAGTGCGCGATGTTCACCCTGTGTTCCCCGACTTACAATACCTCATCCACGCCGTTTGGTTTTACTAACGAGGTTTTGCGCAGTCCGGAGGGTCTGCCACACCGTCTGGAATGTTTTGCTGTTGTTTTATATGTTTTATCGTTGTTTGTTTAGTTTGATTTTGTAAAGTTGTATCCTAGATGGGTGTTTAATTCCCTTCTTTATTTCTTTATCTATGTTTTTATTATTGTTTTAGTAGTATTTAATGGTAGAAAAAACTTGGTAGATTGGACTTGTGTGTGCCATAATATTGTGTTTATTTCCAATAACTTTGTGTGGAGTTTATTAAATAACAACAATTTGGCATGAAACGATTCAAGGTAAGTGGTAACCAAAAATAAAATGAATAATTTCTGAACATCCCGATCAAAATAAGAAAAAAAAAAAGAAGACCCATTTCTAAATGACAAGAAATTACGAAAAGCGACAGAGAGAGAGAGAGACAGAGACAGAGACAGAAGAAAGAGAGACAGAGAGAGAGAGAGAGAGAGAGAGGGAGAGAGAAAGAGAGAGAGAGAGAGAGACAGAGAACGCCAGCAAGCAACACCACGCCCGCACACTGGGTCTGCGAAAGCACACCGCTGATGCAGAAGGAGAGGGAAGGGTTGCCACGGCGAGGCAAGACGACCCTGAGGCGCACGGTGCGGTGGCGGCGGCGGCGGGGACTTCCGTGGATCAGGTTCACGGCGGTCGGTTGGAGGCCTGGTCGGGAACGTGTGTTGGGGGGTTGGAGGGAAGGGGGCGTTTGTGTTGTGTTGGGGGGAGGGGTAGTGCGTGTGTTTGTGTGGTTGTGTGTGTTGGGGGTTGGAGGGGGGGGGGGGCGTTTGTGTGTGTTGGGGGGGGGGAGAGGGGTGCGTGTGTTTGTGTGTTGTGTTGTGTTGGGGGTTGGAGGGGGAGTGCGTTGTGTTTGTGGTTGGGGGGGAGGGGAGTGCGTGTGTGTTGGGGGGGCGTGTGTGTTTGGTGTGTGGGTGCGTGCGTGTGTTTGTGTTTAGGAGGGGTTGTATTTGTGTGTTTTGTACAGGTATATTTATTTGGTTTTGTTTGTGTTATTGTCTGTACGACTGATTTTTTTTATTTGTGCGCATTTGTGCATGTTTTGTGCATTTCATATATATAATATATATATATATATATATATATATATATATATATATACATGTGTGTATTGTGTGTGTGTGTTGTTGTGTGTGTATGTGTGTGTGTGTGTGTGTGTGTGTGTGTGTGTGTTGTGTGTGTGTGTGTGTGTGTGTGTGTGTGTGAGGGAGCGCGTTCCAATAAAGGCAACCCTTCCCCCATATCTCTGTCATGAGATTTTGTCAACATCGCGTTCAGTACGTTGTCATGGTGACTGCGAGGCGCAACTTTCGCTCATGGAAGGGGGGGGGAGAGCGCCGTCACAGGTTACCTGTGTTGTTTTCAGCCTTTCTCTCTCTCTCTCTCTCTCTCTCTCTCTCTCTCTCTCTCTCTCTCTCTCTCTCTCTCTCTCTCTCTCTCTCTCTCTCTCTCTCTTCTCTCTCTCTCTCTTTCTCTCTCTCTCTCTCTCTCTCTCTCTCTCTCTCTCTCCCTGCCCTTCCCTCCCTCCCTCCCTCCCTCCCTCCCTCCCTCCCTCCCTCCCTCTCCTCCTTCTCTCTTCTCTCTCTTCTCTCTCTCTCTCTCTCTCTCTCTCTCTCTCCTCTCTCTCTCTCTCTTCATTTCTCTCTCATTCTCTCTCATTCTCTCTCTCTCTCTCTTCTCTTCTCTCTCTCTCTCTCTCTCTCTCTCTCTCTCTCTCTCTCTCTCTCTCTTCTCTCTCTCTCTCTCTCTCTCTCTCTCTTCTCTCTCTCATCTCTCTCTCTCCCATTATCTCTCTCTCTCTCTCCATTCTCTCTTCTCTCTCTCTTCCCATTCTCTCTCTCCTCTCTCTCCCGATCTCTCTCTCTCTCTCTCCCATTCTCTCTCTCTCTCTCTCCCATTCTCTCTCTCATCACTCTCTCTCTCTCAACTCTCTCTCTCTTCCCCCATTCGTCTCTCACTCTCTCTCTCTCTCCCATTCTCTCTCTCTCTCTCTCTCCCCTTCCTCTCTCACTCTTCTCTTTCTCTCCCATTCTCTCTCACTCTCTCTCTCTCTCCTCTCTCTCTCTCTCCCCATTCTCTCTCACTCTCTCTCTCTCCCCCATTCTCTCTCACTCTCTCCTCTTCCCCATTCTCTCTCTCTCTCTCTCCTTCTCTCTCTCCCTCTCTCTCTCTCACTCTCTCTCTCTCTCACTCTCTTCTCTCTCCCATTCTCTCTACTCTCTCTCTCTCCCATTTCTCTCTCACTCTCTCTCTCTCCATTCTCTCTCTCATTCTCTCTCTCTCTCTCTCTCTTCTCTCTCTCTCTCTCTCTCTCTCTCTCTCTCTCTCTCTCTCCTCTCTCTCTCTCTCTCTCTCTCTCTCTGTCATTCTCCTCCCTCTGCCACCTCTCTTCTTTACCCTCCCTCTCTCTCTCTCCGCTCTCTCTCTCTCTCTCTCCTCTCTCTCTCTCTCTCTCTCTCTCTCTCTCTCTCTCTCTCTCTCTTCTCTCTCTCTCTGTCTCTCTCTCTCCTCTCTCTCTCTCTCTCTCTCTCTCTCTCTCTCTTCTCTCTCTCTCTCTCTCTCTTCTCTCTCTCTCTCTCTCTCTCACTCACTCACTCACTCACTCACTCACTCACTCACTTCTTCCCCCTCCCCCGCACCTCCCTCCTCCCCTTCGCCCCCTCCCCTACACCCCGGCCGGTGCGTGCGCGCAGCCGCCCCGCGCGCGGACAGCGAACACGTGTTGCCAAAGAGTAAAAAGGTTGCCAGATTACGGCGTGACGCAAATTAGGACTGGCTTTACGACCCCCGACATGATGGAACATTCTCATTCCGAGACATGAATTCGGTCAAGGTCTGGGGAGGGAAGTGGCCGCTGGATTTGCCCTTATTCCCCAAGGAGAGGCTGGTTGCAACGGGAAGGTTAGGAGAGCGCATGGGAAGCGGGAGGTCTGCGGGATTCGCCACCGGTTTCACATGTTTCGGGTGGGTGTCTGTGTGTGGTGTGTGTGTGTGTGTGTGTGTGTGGTGTGTGTGTGTGTGTGTGTGTGTGTGTGTGTGTGTGTGTGTGTATATTGCATGGTATATGCGTGTATAGTTTATCTTAGTGTGTGTTTGTGTGTGTGATGTGTGTGTGTGATTGTATATGTGTGATTGCATATTACTGTATATAGTGTAGTTTATCCTGTGCGTTTCTGAAATTGGATGAGCGTGGTCAGCCGCCATGAAGCATACTATTATATTAAAGTGTACATGTTTTTATTGTGAATGTTTGTGTGTGTGCGTGTGTGTGATTGTTTGTGGCAGAGCCTTTGTCCTCGTAATCTCTGAAAGCTCTCGGCTCCGCGGGTCGATCCAACTTACAATTTTCTCTCTCCTCTTATTCTGTTTCTGTTTTCACTGTACTTACTGTTACCTGTTTTTAATATTCTCTCTCTCTCTCTTCTTTCTCTTTTCTCTCTTCTCCTCTCTCTCTCTCTCTCTCTCTCTCTCTCTCTCTCTCCTCTCTCTCTCTCTCTCTCTCTCTCTCTCTCTCTCTCTCTCTCTCTCTCTCTCTCTCTCTCTCTCTCTCTCTCTCTCTCTCTCTCTCTCTCTCTCGCTCCCCGCCCCTCTATCCCCCACCCTTACCTCTCCCTCCCCCTCCCCTCTCTCGCCCTCTCTGCCCCTCCCCCCTTCCCTCCCTCCCTCTCACACACCCTCCCTCCTTCCTCTCAATCCATATCAAAACAACAGATGATTATATATTGCTTGAATCGCAATGAAATTAGTTTTCCCATTGCTCTCCCTGATGGACTGCCGCGCGCCCGGGCAATCAGTGGAATTGGAAAGTTAATAGATGCGTAATCTGGTGAGAGACGACTTTAGCGTAACAGGGAGGAGGAAAAGGAAGGGAGGAAGAATGGGAGAGAAACGAGGCAGAGGGGATCGAGGGAGAGACGAGATAAGAGAAGTTGAGGTAAAAGAATAGAGGAGATCGAGAGGAGGGCTGGCGAGGAGGGAAGGGAGGGAGGAAGAGGAGGAGGGAGTGAGGATCGGGAAGGGAAGAGGAGGAGAGACAAGGGAGGAGCGAGAGAGCAATGGGAGAGGGAAGGGAGGAAGGGAAGAGGAGGAAAGGGAGAGCAAGGGAGGAGGCAGAGGAGGGAAGGGAGGAAGGGAAGGGGAGGAAGAAGGGAGGACGAAGAGGAGGAAGGGGGAGGCAGGAGGAGGAGAGACAAGAGGAGGATGGAAGAGGAGCGAGAGGAGAGCAAGGGCGAGACAAGGGAGGAGCGAGAGGAGGCAATGGTCCGGGTCGTGTTGGACCTGATCTGACCTGGGCCCGGGGGAGTGTTGCCATCTCTGCGGGACAAACTTGATATTCTTTTTTCTCTCTCTTTCCTGTTTCCTCCCCGACTGTCAAGAGCGGATGTCATGTGTAATTGAGTTGGCTTCGTGTGCCGATATTGCGACGTGGCCGTGACAGCCGTGGAAAGGCCTCCGAGAGTTCTTTCCGTGACGCAAGAACGGTAATGCAGGGGTCGCGTGCGGGGCTGGCGTGGCGCTGGCCGCTGACCCGCCCCGCCTCTATTTCCTCTAATCTTACGTCTTCCTGACCCTATTACTCATTTCCTCTCCGCTTCTCCTCCCTCGCGCGCACGCACGGACATGGAAACCACCCGAGAGGCGGACATACAATGCAAGAATAGCGTTTCGTTTTCGTGTATCGAAATCGAGACGTCATTACGAGATATCTGTTCTGGAAGATTCGCTGGTTTCTTTTCCCCCCTTCCTTCCCCTTCCTCCTCCTCCTTTTCCTCCCTCCCTCCCTATCCTCCTCTTTTACGTCCCCTTCCCTCTTTCGAAAACATGGCGTTGGAATCGCGATGAAAGGGAGCGAGGGAAGGCGAGGCGTGGCGTGACGAGAAGAAA